ACCCAAACCATTCTATGATTCTATAAGCACACATAAATTGACTAGGTATCTATACACATAACTGCCTGAAACCTTTTCAGTTGCAATTCTAAAGCCACATGAATGAGAGGGGGAAGCACTGTGTACTTTATTTCCTGATATATGATGCAGACTTGAAATATTACGAAAATATTAGTATTGGGTTTTTTGTTTTCTACAGGAATGTAATTCTTGTTTTCCTGTTTTCTCTTGCAAAATTGGTAATCAAAACAAAAACTGCCAGAGAATGAAATTAATGCATATTGATATATTTTTTAATTTGAGTTTAAAAAGACTTTTCAAACAAGTGCTTGGGAGGGAGAAGGGAAACTCTCTTTGTTGAAGACTATGCACCTTTCCCTCTTCATGTAATGCCTAAAAAACAATACTGCTTAGAAGGGTAAAAGGGAGAGTACCTACAAGAGAGATTGTTTTTTTTAATTATATCAAAGTTAGACAAAAAGGACCCAGGGATCAAAGGCATTAACATGATATTTCACTGTTTCAAAACCCACCATTTCAGCTCCAGGTTCGACAGCGAACAATCAGTCCCATAAAACTTGTAAGTAAGATGCAGGAAAGACAGGTAGATCCCAAAGTATTTAGATTTAAAGCATGAGTACCACTTTGCTTTATTAACATCTCTTCAACTGGAGAGAGTATTTTCATAATATTTTAGACCATCCTAAGCATGATGTATTAACCTTATTTTTGCAGAAAAAAAGCATTTCATTAAGAAGGACATGGTATGTTTGATGAGGGTGTAGGATCCTGCTTCCATGAAGACAAACCAAGACAAAAATGAACACAAAGGGAGACAAAAGCACAGCAAAAAAACCCAAAAATATAAATTTTTTCTGCTTACTCTAGTTTTATAACCTCACTCTTAGAAATACAGGTAAAGTCTGGTATCAGTGTCGAATTATAGTATCACAAAAAAGTGTGATGAGTTTAATGGTTTCTCTTAATAATATTATGTTTACTAATTAAACCTTAGTTTCTGGGAAACTAATTTTTGCCTCTTGATTCCAGACTCCTCTTGCTCACTGCCAGTGGTCTCATCCAAGTCTTGGACTGTTTTCATTTGTAATAATTCTCTTTTTATAGATTCAATTTCATCTGAGATCTCCAAGCAATTCTATATAACTCAGTCAAACTGGACTTTTAAAATCCTGAATATAGGAAATAAGTTTTTTGCACGGGGCTCTAAAAAATTAGATGGTTAAAGTCAAGAAAAAACAGCACTCAAACCAACTTAAAAAGCCAACCTCTTTCATACATTTTTATTCACTTCTGTCACTTTAATTTGTGTTGCTTCTTATAAATCAGTCTCTTGGGCTGCTGCTTATTTTTTTTGGCCTTTTCTTAACGCTAACTTAAATAATTTGATACAAGAGAATGGATGGCAGAACTGGTGAATAAATGGAAATGTGCTAGTCTCCAAAGAGATGAAAAAAGGAGGGAAGGAAGGGTGTCGTTCTTGGGTACTCCCAAAAGAGGCAAATTTAAGAAAAAGCATATATGAATCAGGAAACAGGCTCACAGAGGTAGCTGAAGCATTCACAAGGAATTTGCATAATTTCAATTGTTCAAAAATTAAATTGGGCACAGCCATGAGAACAATATGATGTAAGGAATATTCTTGCAATTATGGAGCAAGTGCCTCCGAAACGGTCTCTTGGGTCCATCCTTGTGTAATTTCTAAGATCTACAGAAATGTTTCTTTCCTGATCCAGCATATGACTTACCTCACCAAGACAGCCTTCTTTTACCATATATTTCCTGACGTGATTCCAGATGCGGCTTTTGGTCAGCAAGCTGCCTCCAGTGGCCTGCTCAAATTTTTCATAGCTTCCATATTTCTGCAACGTCCGCTCCATGATGTTAATGGACTATAAAATACAAAAGTATAGCAAATAGGAATGCAGTCAGACTGGTGTGTGTATTCTTTCTCTCCCTCTTAATCTCTCTCTTTTTTTAAAATATTTTTTTTCTTTTTTCAACTCATTGGGAGTCACTATTAGTCATTAGATACAGGCTGACACACTCTGTAATCAATTTATACCATCTCCAGACATACATTAATGCCCAAGTACTGCAAAAAAGATTCTGATCAACTCATCTTGGACCCACATACATGAGCATAACACAGATGATTAGCAGTTCAGTGAAGTAACACCCATTTTCTCTTTAATTTTGGGAATGTTGTACTACTGCCTTGTAAATCAGCCATAACAGGTCACAAGGACATTTGCAGTTTAAATTGTCAGCATGTTTCTCTTTATGGTTTTCCAAATAATTTAACGAATACCAACTATTTACTGTCATCTTGCTTGGTTTCTTAAGCATGTTTCTCTTTATGGTTTTCCAAATATGTTTACGAAGAACAACTATTTACTGTCATCTTCCTTAATTTCTTGGTATTTTCTAAATTAGGAATGCTGAACCATGATTAAGCAGATGTGTAACTGTAATTTTAATTATAATATTTCTACCAAAATTCACTCCTTATGATGAAATCCTCTGTACCATGGATGTCTGTTTCAGAAAGGAGGAGAAAGATCAGGAACTTCATTCACAGAACTTTCATTTAAACCTTTCATTTAAATTACAATAATTCCTTATACACCCCCAAAATGAAGGAGGTACGTTTCATTAGACAAACAAAGTGGTATCAGCAATTCTCTCACGTATTGCTGGTAGACATCCCTCGTGGGTGGAAAGCAGAGCACGATGCCTATAACGTGATCTGAACTCTGCATGTTGAAGATGTTACTGGTAGGGTGTGAAATGCTCATCCACAGTGATCTACCGTCATTTCACAGCCTTAAAAGAAAATGTGCTCTAGAATAACTTCTTGCCCAGCTACAGGGAACAGCTTTTTCATAGATAGCAGAAGCTCCCAAGAATCTCATAAAGAAAAAAATATTACTGCTATTACCTTAAAAAAAAAAAGAAGGAATGCTTTTGCTAAGAAAATACCACCAATGATGAAGGTGGAAATCTTGCAGACTGAATCTCTTTTTATGTTGTACACTTATATCCATGCATGAAGCTGATAACATGCTGGTTGTTTGCAGCTCTGTAATTCTGACATTGTCAGACTGGCTTACTGTCCACAAAAACAGGATTAATTTTGTATCTCTCACAGCTACTAACAATCCTTTTCTATTTTTTTTTTCAAGTTGAAACTAAGCAACCCTGAGTAACTGCTACTGAAAGCCATAAAAGCTAGCTAGATGTATTATTAAAGTCCTGTAGCTCTTTGATGAGAAAAATATCACCTACCTGAATGCCAAAGAAATGTTGCATCTAGTGTTAAGTATTTCTATGTCTGCCTCTAATACTTGTTATTAAATTTGAAGGGCCTCCTGGTCAGATCTGAATTTCTTTTTCAAGAATGAAGAAAGCGGCATAATTTACTACTTTAGCACAGAAAAAACAAAACAAAACAAAAAAACCAGCCCAGGTTAGCTTAAAGAAGGATGTTTTGGGTGGTTAAACAATCTAGAAACAGGCTCACCAAAAAGGCACCCAGTGTTGTGACATGAAGCCCATCTCCTCTGACTGCCTCCCGTGTGGCCCCAGCTCTCCAGCCACCACACTAACTCCACCAGTAGTTTCAGGCTTGACAGGGACTTGCAGTGGACCCACTGGTGGCCTGGTGACATTTGGCTGGTTCCCAGGATCTGGCTCGTTGGGGCAGCTGTGCCCCCGCACTTGCTGAAGCTAGCATGAGTAGGAAGTGGATGTTATGAAGAAAGGCATCAACAAGGAACACATTCTCTTTTCTTTTTCAAGTTTTCTTTATAACACAAGGCGTCAGGATGTCTGAAGAGAGGTATCGTAAAAGAAGAATGCCGTGCCACCACCCGAGCCACCGCACACGATTTGGCTCAGCCCCTCCCTGTGACAACACCGCGATGAGCACAGCTCCATGTTGTGTGTTACGCGGCCCTGCTCAGCATCGGAACAGGGACCTCCCAGGAGAACTGACAGGCACCTTGCAGACCTTTGGCTCAACTGTTTGCAGTCCTGAAGACCAGAGGCAATGGGTTGCTGCTGTGAAAACTGCCATGTCCTTCTGCAGCTTAAAAACAAATTATGTTTTTCAAGATGAATGCATGAAAAATAGAGGATGCCTCCTCATCTGGTGCAAACTGTAGGCATTTAACAGAGGTTCAGTGCTGTTATTTTTACTCTTACTCCCATTAACCTATTGCACAGAAGTATGAGTAAGGAAGCTACAGCTTTGTAGCTCCCAGTGACTTCCCCTATATATTAGGTCTTGTACAAATGCAGAGGTGTGGCGGGGCCTAAAAGATTATTAAAAGAGATTAGAGATTATTTTTTCTTGTGAACAGTCAAGTCTTAACATCACTTGTCATTTAAAAAGGACCTCAGATAAATGAAGCAAGGTTAGTGTCTAAGTATTGAAAGAAGGAATACATGGGTCCCACACACAAGGCCTAATGTTTCTGGAGACTAATGACAATTGTTTCTAGCAAAATTTAGGATTAAGGGCTAGACGTAAAGAAAAAATCAGAGCAAAACTAGTTCTTGTTTAATAGCTTGCATATTTTCCCAAAGGATTTTTTCCCTTTTTTATTAATTACATATGAACTTTTAATTTCTAAAAACATCAGCTGTTTTCGAAGTTTTTCAGTGCCTGCAAATGCTACGGCATTCTCCTGTCTTACACAAAATCCCTGGCTAAAGAAGCAACCCAAAAACAGGTGAGTGAGATTCACAGGCTGAAGAATGCCAACAAAGGCAGGAAAAGATAAGAAGTAGGCTTGAAGAACAGCAAAGATACTTCACATACTTTTTGAAAAGAGTAGAACAAATCCAGAGTGCTGACCAAGTCAAGCAGGGGTGGATGACAGCAGGTTGGATGAGGCAGAGGACCAACAAAACCATTTGAGAGCAAGGGGGCAGTTTCTTCTCAACATTAAAGCTCATAAAAACAAGGGTGTTTGAGAAGGGTATGTAAACTTTTCTAACCCGCTCCGTGTTATGACGCTGTTCATAAAGACTCTGAGATGTGGCTTTACGTAGGTTGGTTTGGTGACGTTATTCCAGAGGACTCTCCTACCTTAGTCAGAGTGCAGGTATTTTCTAAAACCACCTCATCACAACAAACAGGGAGAAAACAAGCCCTGAACGCGCATGAAACTTCCTGCTTGGCCGTCTGTAACAGAAAACTCCCTGAAGCTCCCACGTAGGAGAAGCCCCAAGTTCTAGCTCCTCCTGCCTGCCTGCAGGCGCCTTCCAGAATTCCTGGGCTGTTTCAGGCTTTTCCTAAAATGCTGTGAGACACTTGAACCAACAGCACAAGACAAATAGCAGGTTCTCAGAGATACTTGCCCCTGAAGAAGCACAGACCTGCTCTGGCCTCTCCCACCTCAACCCAGTGCATGGCTGCAGCTCCAAGGGGAAGGGTGGGATACCGAAGGGTGCCTCCTCTACTTTATGTGCCACATGGAGTAACCTATATCCTGACACTTCAGCCACCTCCAAATAGATGTTGCAAGTTGGAACCCATGCATATTGAGAAAGACATTAAGCTTAAGCCTCAGGTTTGGGATATTTTTGGATCCCAGGCATTGAAGACAACACAGAACCCTTCATTTGGGATTCTGCACCTGTCCCTGAGGTGAGATGACTCAAAATCTGGTGTTGAAAGAACTTGCTGGGAAAGGGGAAAAATCCAGACCAGCATGTCAGCTCTTGCCTACTCCAGCATCCAACTGTGAACTTATTTTCCAGCCTCTGGACCAGCAGAAAACAACTAATATTGCCACAGTTCCTAAGATCAATCTGCAAACTCTTCAGAAACAGGTGAAAAAAAAAAAAAAAAAAAAAGGAAGAAAAGAAGTACTATGTGCCTGTACCAGGCTACTGGTTAGAAGTAGTAATTCCTGTTCTTTTCATTATTATCTAAAATCGCTACTTATTGCTACTGAAGAGTGCCAAAAGGGGCAGTCCCAAGACAAGTCCCCTTGCACAGCAAACCCTGCTGATGCTCAGGAAAGTAATGCCACAGAAGCATGAAGAAGAGCAAGACAAGGCTCTGTTTAATTGACAGGTTTAGGTTGTGGTGGTGTTGGCTTTTTAAAACAAATTATTTATAGCCAAGTAGGTCTCTGAATCCCAAGTCACCCATGTGCAGCAACACCGATTAGTTACTTGAGAGTTATTGTAGACACATGCACTGAGAAAACATGGTCATGAATTGTTTGAGGCAACCGAGTTCGAAAACAGGCTCAGTGACCTATCAGCCGGCCCCTGGCATTCAGTCAGCTCGTCCTACATTCAGAAGCAGCTCTGCTACAGAAGGGTTGTGGTCTCTGTTGAGGTTTGCAAGACAGACAAAGCTTGCAGGCACTACCACTTTCCTTCCTGCATAGGTTATTTGCTGGGGGAGGGAATGTTTCCCAAGTGCATCTTTAGGTAACACTAAGATGTATCAGATGGAACTTGTTAGTCTAATCAACAGCTATAAAATGGTGGCTGTCCCCTTTTTTGGGTCAGCAAATAATTAAAGGAGGGAAGGAGGTAAGAGCAGGTTATTGGGGCTAGTCTCCTTAGGCTGCAGTATTTTCAGTTTTCTTCAGTGTTTACAAGATCTTTTCTTTTGTGTGCTTGTTCTCAGTGTGATAAAGAGTATGTTTAAGTAATTTAGAACCAATTGATAGATGTACTTGTCATGAAAAGCTTTTTAAATACTTTGGAAGGAATTAAAAATTAGTATTAACTTGTTTTTTGTATGAGACTGTGTCCTGAAATAAACCTCTACTCCTGTAACATCACCAGAAGTGATCCAGTCTCCTCTAGTGGAAGAGAGAAGTTTGTGTAGGACCCTGGGAATGTATTTTACCTGGATGGTTTGATATGCTTTCTGTTATATATTAACACACTTTATCTATAAATCTTAATTTAGGAGGGAATTTGTTACTAGGGGACAATGAGGTGTTCTACAATTAAGTACGCTTCACAGTCAGTGATGCATTGTTGAATCTTCAACATGCCTAAGCTGTGGCATCACCTGGGCATTGCAAAGGATTACTCAGTGTTGAATGTCATGTTGTTTAGCCTTCCAGCTCCACCTATTTTTCCAACGTCTGATAAATCTGCTAATTGTAGGTTATTTGTATTAATGACTTAAAAGGTGTGCAATACAAACACTTGCAATGTAGCATAACTGACTTATTAACTCAAAACTGTTACAATTTTATGAGTACAAGGGAAAAGGATGTACAACTCCTTCACGGGGGGATTACTCATTCAACAAAATGATGATTTAAAAAAAAAATAGGCATATAAAAATAGATTTCCTGCCTTCATGTACCATTCAAAGAAATTACTGTTAACACAAAGGTTACTCGAAGCTTCTTGCTGATTTTGGTACAGTAAATTGCAACTGTTAAGTTGTCTGCTCTGCAAACACTGGGGACAATTACTTCAAGCTAAGTATTGCCACCTCTAGCATCTGTGCAAAAATAACACGCACTTTAAGTGTTAAGAAAACTTAACGATGAAGGACAAGTAGTTTGAGACAGAAGGAGTGCTAAAAGGAAAGCCCCAAGAGCTTTCATAGCTCTTGGAGCCCGCAGTTGCTGCACTGACCCTAAAACACAGCAATAAGAGAATTAATTTCTGTAATATTAGATATGTCAATCAATGTGAAAAGCTGCAAGTCTACATACTATTTTTTTACTCTCAAGTTCTCTTGCCTAAAAGCACATATTGTGTGACTCATGAAAGAGCCTTATTATGAAGAAAACAGGATAAATTAGAAAGAGAGAAACAGAGAAAAGTATGAGCAGAGACATTAAATACGTTACAGTAATGCTGTATTAACCAATTCCACAGACATGCACTAAAGCAGAAAGGGCAATAAGAAAACGCAATCTGTTTTAATGTCCTAGCAGGCTATACAAAGCTGTGGGTAAAAAAATATTTTTTAAATTAAAAATCCTCTAAAATTCTGAAATATCAGGTTTTGAGGTCATTTCACTGAAGTATCCTAAAAGCCCCCTAAAAAATCGGTGAGTTCTGTCGTAAACAGCTGGTTTTACAGGGATATTAGTCATAGAAGAGCAAGTGTAAGTTGCTTTAAGCACCTTTTATAGAATAAAACAGGAATAATTCTGTTTCTGTTCACAGAAAGCAAAGCTTCCTAAAATAAGTACAACAATAAATGAAAGCCGAAAATGTTTCAAAAAACAAAACGGAATTTATCCTTGTTGCAGGAAAAGAGATGACTACACACAGTTGTGTTTCTACTGCAAATTCGAATCTTGACACTGTGAATACTTTTTTTGCAACTGAATTAATCTTTCCTGAACTTAACACTTCCTGTAAGATACCCACGTGTTTCTTATGACAAGTAAAATCTGCATGGAAAAAAAAAATTAGCACGGAGGAAAAGCAAGTGCTCATACAATATTTTCTGGTAAAAATGTTGATTAATGCTACTTTTTCTGGAGAGCAAATTTGCATGAAATTAAATTCAAATTTGCGTGAAGATTAAAAGTTCTAAAGGTAGTTGTAGATAAAAAAAGAGAGAGTGCCACCTGCTGGGCTTGGAGCTTTGTTAAAGCTGTTTTTTTGGTTGGTTATATGAAGTGCAAAATGTTGTTGTTCAGTATTTTTAGGAGCTGAACTTTGAATAAATGCTTTTCTTGCTAAGAACTTCTGTAACATAAACTAAACCTGATGAAACAATTTCTGTCCTCCTTGGTAAGTTTCAGAAATATCATACTTCATTGAATATTAAATCCTTCACTGCTTTTTATAAAGTTGTTATACAGCCTTTATTTTCCCATGCTTTGTACGTAAAGGGAAAAAGGAAGAGTTACAAATCAGAATAATATTGAGGAATCATTCATTATTAAAATATTCATTATTTAGGTGGGGGTTTTTTTTCTTAAAAGAAGGGTAAATCAATGACAGGCTGCTCCATAAAATCATCATGCATCAAATAATTTTTAAGGCTCTGCTAGCTCATACTGAAAGGGATAATTTGTATTAAATTCAGGTTGTCAAATCAGTTACTGTTGCTTTGTTGTAATCTAGAATTAATGTTGCTAATATTGCTACAAAAATCAAAGGAAAACATGCTAAAGAGCTCTAGTCAAGGAGTAGTTTTATTTGCTGTCAGTATGATTTAGTTGGTTGTATGGAAGCTGACTTTAAGAACAGAACAGCTGTTCTCTATCCTCATAACAAAAATAAATTCTTAATGAAAATCCAGCTACTGAGTTTTTAAAATATACAGCTATTTTAATGTGAAAATGCAGACCAAGCCTTACAGTACAGTGACTTAATAGGTAATAACACCTATGTGCATTCTTGGATTTGGAAGAAAGAAAAAAAAAAAAAAAGAGTCGGACCCTTCAGAAGTCAAGGGTCAGTTATTAGATTCCATGGTACTTGAATTCATGTATCCTTTGCACCAGGAATTTTGGGGGGTTTTAAGTGAAATATTCATATCACAAAGAAGTGAAACTCATGGAGCAGCGGGATCTCTTCCCAAGTTAAGTATCCCTTGACATGAGACTCTCTAGAAGAGCTTGTCCGACTTAAATAAGATCTTTCTAAACCATTTTAAAATAGCACAAGTGGGAAGAGGACTGGTCCTGTTTTTATATAGGCCAGCACTGGGTTTTGTCACTTAGGTCAAAGTTGAAAGCAAGGTTTTTGTTGTTCTTGTTGTTTTGAGGCTTTTTGTAACTCAAAGACAGGTAGGAAGCCAGGGCAGCTACACAGAATGGGAATGTCTGTAGCTATGTTACCAGAGTGGCTGCATACTATTAAAAAAAAAAAAAAAAAAAAAGGTGTGTGTGTCTCTGGAATGGAATTTGTCTGCTGCTTGATTGTGCCTAATGCATATGCAAATATGCTTTCAAAGTTGATTAAAACAAGAAACATCAACATATGCTTATCCAATAACCATGACCTCAAATAATTGCTATCCCTTCCCAATCCCTGCGTCAGCAAGAGGATTGGCAGGATTTCTACGCTGCTTTTTTCCTCTGTTTAGCCTATCTAGGCATTGTATTTTTCCTGTATTGGACTCTGCATCCTTGTCTAAAAGGCTTTCTTGCCTTAAATTATGCTTCATTTAAGCCCATTTATAAGAAACTGTGCCTTTATCCTGTAGAATCCTATAAATACTAGGAAGGCTTTTGGTTTTTAATCAGAAAGATCTTCTTTTAGTTCTACTGCTGTATTCTCATCTTTGATGTATTTTTCAAACACTATGGGAGGCTGATAAGGAGAAACAACTTGCTACAAAGAAAGCCAAATACCACCTTAATAGGTCTAGGAAAAAAAACAGTGGAAAAGGACGAAAAAAAGGAACCATACCTGCTTAAGAAATCTGTCAGACGCATGGCTGTGCTTAGCTAACACGTTTGGCAGAGCAGGGTTTGCATACTCAAACTGAGGATTGTACGTGAAATCGGACTTGAAGAATTTCATCTTCTCTTTCTCCACGTTGGAAGGCTTGATTGCAGTCAGTAAACAGAGTTTTCGGCTCGAGGCGTCACCTTCTTTTCCATGGCTTTTTGAAGACTGGGATTGCTTTGGCTTTGTTAGATTAAAATGCCTCTTAGCTCTACTTCTGGGTCGAGATGGCAGTCCTATGCTGTTCCCTGGAACTGAAATACCGTTTGTAAACTTTATGCTGGTAGACACTGGGCTAGTGACGACGATGGAGGGCTGTCTGTTTGTATAGTACCATCCGCTGCTGAGCAAGGGGAGTGGGAATTTGATTTTGCGGTGCTCACTGCTTCGCAAGGTGGCAGAACACTTTGTAGTTTTTCTTTGTTTCTTGTGGTGAGCAGATGACTGCTTTTGAGCATGGTGTTTTTTCTCCTCTTTGCTCTGCAGAAGGACGTTGTAGCTACTGGTTCCTGTTGTGAAAATGTCCTTAAGGATCCCAGAAGGTGGCTGCTGGAGGCTGTTTTCACTATTAATGTTCAGCTTATGTTCTTCTGGACTCAGGATTGATTTCTTAGAAAGCTCTGTCTTAGGCCAGTGAAGTTTTTCTGCATTGAGGGGGAAAAAAAAAAAAGATACTTTAAGTTAATCTAGACATACAGGAGAATTGTGCGTGTGTTATCACTTTTGAGCAATTAGACTGGAACATGTAAGATCTAGCTAAACAAGGACTTACGCTTGCATCTCCATGCATAAGTGCACTGGATGCAGCTCCGAATTAACTTGCTTAAATCCAGACTGTGCAGGACTTATGACTCTTCACCAGTTCTAACCATCCCCTTCTTTTGCCAACCAGTTCATCCTAGAACATTAGGAAGAATAAATCCTGCCACAGAGAAATGCTTCCTACTTCTGAACCTATAATGAAAGGATTCAGGGAACAGGAGAAATGGCCGGAGCTTGATTAAAGCCCACTTAAGAGATTTGAGCTTCAGCCCACAGTTATACATAGCTGAGCTGTTAATTACTCTACATACAGTAATTATACTCTGAATGGAACATTAGCAAGAGATCACTAAATGCCTCCAAGGGAAAAAAAAAAAAAAAAAAAAAAGATCGATAGTAGTTTAATTTCAGCTTTATTTTCACAGTAAAATTAGGTTTTGCTCCCAATGTAAGCACCATGACAATGTATTTCATGCTGTTGGACCTCTGTCAGCTCCATGTCAACCTGTGTTCCTCTGTTCTCCTGAAGATGCTGTTCTAAAAAGCAAAAAGACAGAGGTCCTATTTGCATGAACATACAACAGGAAATCTGCAGAGAGGCAGAAGCATGAGATTATTCTCTTCCACTAAAGCATGTGTATTTTATGCAAGCTCAGTTTTGTTTCACAGCAACTTTGCAAATCCTCTTTATATGCTTAGTGCAGGAACATGCTCCTTGGCCAGGCTGTTCAAATTCTGTCAGGTCATCCTCATCACAGAGGTGGCAACCTGCCTACCTGGCTTACCTTGCCTTATACTATGATCTGAGTATGGAATTTACTGACTACATATTTCAGTCTTTGCAGCAGAAAAGAGCCAACAAACATATGCCCAAGCCCTCAGTTACCCTTGAGGACCTCTCTAGAAATGTGAAATCTATGTACGCAGATTCTTTTCATTGATCTCACTTCCAAACACTCCAAGTCAAAAAGCCTCAAGTCCCTAAAAAAAAAACCAAAAAACACCCCCCCCCAAAAAAAAAAAAAAAACAACCTCACAACAAAACTAGCACAGTCTTTCCCAAGAAGACTTTCCCAGGACATTTTCCATTTATTGGTATTTTGTTCCACTCTGCAACAGCACAGTAATGAAAACATAGGTCTTAGAGACACTGGTGAACTACTAAATGAAACAATCTGCCAGGTTTAGAGTGGAAGGTGAGAGTACTGGAGAAGGGATGTACCTGAAGACTCCTAACAGGATATATGGGAATCACAAATCTATTATAATTTGTCACTGATGAAATACTTTCAATGTCTAAGTTGCTAGCTTTGAATCTTGTAGCATGAAAGACCCTCCCTAATCTTGTCAGAGGTTATCAGTTAGGAAAATAATTATATTTTATGGTAAATTCAGGAACTAGGTTATATTATTGGTATCCATCCTTTAGAATCTGATGTATTGAGATAATCTTTTGTTATATTAACAATACACGTAGTAAAGCCTAATGTAAGAATTCTTCCAGATTTTGGGGAGTGTTGTAGAAAAATCTTCCTCTAGGCTACTGGTCAGCTACTATCCAAGCAGCTTCTTAAATACCTGTTTCATAGGAGGAATGAGGTGAATAATGATATTTGTGGGTATAGATCTCTCTCTGCCCAGCTAGCTTTGCTCTAAAACCATAGAGAGCTCCTGCAGTTTTCAAGCAGCTGTCACTCAGGTTATATATGCACAATGGACAAATCATTTCCAAACTGCAGGTACGATTCTTATGGCGCCTAGCGAAGATGTTCTTGGAGAAGTTCCTCCCCTTCTAGGAATGTAATGATGCCACTGCTTTTGGTTTTCAGTTCAGCATTACCATTCTAGAACATGCTTGACTTGATTTTTCAAATTTGTAGGAATGCAAATAATGCAAGTGATCTATCTACAAGTAATAAAAAATAGTGAGATTTGAAAGAGAAGAAAATATATGGATGTGACAAGGAAGATTCCTCTTTTGACAAATTCTGCAAACATACAATTATATTACAAATAATTTTTTTATCTTCAATAATGAGGTAATGTGACTAGATTAACAGCTATCTGTAGTTTATGAGCCCTAGGCTGTATGGTTTGTGGGTGCAGAGGGCTGTAGAAAGAATATTCTGCAACATGCAGGTAACGGAGAGTGTTATATATGAATCTATAATGTTCCACTGCCTCTCAGACACTACAGGCTTATATTTCTGGTGTAACAGAAACTGACCAGAATCCTGTAGTGTATTTCCTCACCACTATAAACATCTTTAAGGTTTACAAACGCTGAAGTTTTGAACAGGAAGTGTCGGGCAGCTTGAACTAAACAACCCTAGAAGCTCTGTCTATAGTGACTGAAAATGGTTTTGCTGTAGAACTAGTCAGCAAGTTCCTGTAAAAAGACTGATGCTGAGATTTTTTTTATTTTCACACCAAGTTAGTTATTAACTAGAGCCCATATGATGTTGGGAATTTTGACATTTAACCTAAGAAAATTTTTTCCCCCCAAATATCCACCTATTTGCTTTCCTCCTGCAACAACATTATCTGTCATTCAACTTTAATTCTGAGCTCCAAAACTAAGGGCAAATTTCAACTATGAGCCAACCTGTACGTCTCATTCATTAACTGCCGGTGTTTGTAAGTAACTCTGGAGTATCCACCATTTACAGGATTCACTGTCATGATTTTAGACAGTGCAGCTTGGTTTTTGTCTTTAAAATTGCAATGATAGTGAAAAATGTACTCTTTCTGCCTTAACAAAAAGTACAAACTGACTTGCAAGCAGTTTCTTGCATGCATGTTTCCACACTGAAATATGTAATTAACTCCAAATTCTTCAAATTAAATTATATAGCACAGTAACACTCAGTAAAAGCAAAGACTCGGCCCTAATGAAATCAGGTAACAAATTCCCATTCATTTAACAGACTCAGAACCACAAAACTGGTTTACAGGCAGACGTGCCCAGGATTAACCTTCCATCCAAGCAGCTCTCCAACTTGCTCCACTGCAGCACAGGTGTGTTGAGGAATATCTGATGGAGGCGCATGGACCCCAAATAACTACCTTTCCTTTCAAGAAATCTTAATCTTTTAAGATTACAGTTCCTGTTGCACATCTCGAGGGATGCTCTGATTCCATGAACTTTATTTCTCTTCCCGTTCCCAGAAGCAGCACTTACATCCACGCACAGATGGAACGGCATGTAAATTATGCAGAGAAAGAGTAGCTGTAAGAAATCTTAATTATTATGTTAACACTATTGTATGAGGGGACGCTAAGAGGTCTCCACCAGATGCCTTCTAGATGGATTTCCCCATCACAAAATAACACCAGCTTGGAGCAGCTGAAGAAATGACATATGAAATGACGTCAAATTTAGCCAAGGAAAACATCTGCCCGAAAAAATTGGTTTTTTTGCTGCACAACTGTATTGGAGGTTTTCCTACACACCACGTATATACAGCACGGAAGGTAAAAGTTGTGGATGCCATACAAAAACACCCCCGTCACGGTGATATGGCCACAGTACAGATTCTTATATACACACAGAATACAGATTTGCAAAGTTCTCTGAAAATACGGCAAAGCAGCGAGCCGAAGAGTGAAAAACGCCGGTGTGGTGATATTTTCATTGGCATTTTTGCCCACACCCTCGCTCCGGGGGGTGCCGGGCGCCTTCCCCTGTCCCCACGGAACCCCTGGGCGCCTCCTCGGATGATTTTTTTCCCTCGCGGGAGCGGCTAGGGGCCAGGGGCGGTACTCACCGGTGACACGGATGGACTCCAGCATGGCGCTCCGCCGGGCAGCTCTGCCCCGCTGGCGTCCCCCTGGGCGGGGAGGAGCGGGCAGCCCTGAGGGAGAGCGGGGAGCGAGGGAGCAGCAACGGAGCA